TGAAACCACTCACAGGAGGTTTCTGTGTCAGAGTCTGATAGCAGCTCCAAAGGCTCCTACCGAGCCACAACAAGGCCAATGAGGGGGAAGATGCTCGTGAAAGAGGACAGAAGTAGAGGATGGAGAACAGATCAGATTGATGGAGCAACTGACCCTGATTGAAGCAAAGAAACGAGTTATCTTACTTAGCTGGAAATTTAATAGGAGGTTTTGTCCTTAGAGCAACCCGGTTTCATGGATCTCTGTTGAAGAGTCAGTTGGCTTTCATGGTATCAAATTTACTTCCAAACTTTCTGTTATTTGAACTTTTTTGTTAGCCTAGATATACTTTTGTATAAATTGTCCTAAAAATCATGATAGGAGATAATAGACACATGTGTAGCCATATCTACTGGAGATGGACATGCTGAGTCTAAGGCATCTGCAATGATGAATGGCTGACTCTTCAAAACAGGATAATTGGGGATGTTTGAAGTGGGTCCTGGAAGAGATATTTCCAGATCATCTCCAGAAATGAAAGAAAATATGCCTGCCTAATGTTTTTGTTCAAAGGGAAAAAGCAATGCTTGCTAAGTACATCAGAAAAGTATCCTTGAGATATTTTCACACACAAATTATAAAGTGGATTTTAAGTAACATTAGACAAAATATTCATTCACATTACAAATCAATTTTCTTTTGCATGTGGCATAAATTAGAGGGAAGACTTGGGGGAAATGTAGATCTCACCCATGAAAATGCCTTGTGTTACTCTTTCAGTTTCTTTCCATTTTCTGTTGCAGGAAGCCGGTTTATCTTATTAGAGGGGAACCAACTGGATGCCAGCGACTGGTTAAATCCTGCCCAGGTGGTTCTTTTCTCCCAGCAGAATTCTAGTGGGCCGTGGGCCTTGGATATGTGCGCCCGGCGACTTCTCGACCCTTGTGAACATGAGTGTGATCCTGAAACTGGTAGGTGGGTGCAATATGGTGATTGACATGTATCTGGGGGATTGTCAATTTCCAAAAGCTATTGAAAAGTTTGGTGGGAAAATGACCTTCACATTTCCTTGGTTTCTGTAGGGTGATAACAAAAAAGTCATATGAAATTCCCTTATCTTGAATCCAGTTTTCCTTCTACCCAGCAGACTATTTTTTGATGGATTAAGTTACACTCTCTGATTTAGGCTGACGATCCTTCATATGAACTATTATAAGAAGTACTTGCACTCAAATTTTATACATGCTATGCAGTGATGGGATTCAGCCAGCTCGCACCTATTTGGGAGAACCGGTTGTTAACTTTCTAAGCAGTTCGGAGAACCGGTTGTTGGAAGAAATCTCNCAAATCAGACAATGTGATTGTCTGGATTTGTTTTCTCATTTTGTCTCTCATAGTTGATGATGTCAATTACAGGCCTATCTCATCTTTATAAGTGGGAGAACTTGCACAATTGGTGGCTGACTAAATACTTTTTTGCCCCACTGTACATCCATACCCCTTAAGCCAGAGAAATAATATCAGCACTATTAATACAAGATTTATGCTGTATGACATAAGCTCTGTGCAGTTATTTGGCTGCATATGAATTCAAATAACTTTCTTAAAATATGGGTGCCCATGTAGTTTCTCCATAATGACCTAACATACTGACCTGCCTTTTAGATCATTCCAGTTGTAAGCTCCTAAAGTATGTTTGAACACTGATTTTCCAGATGCAACATCATCTGAGAAGCTCACATTAGTAGAGCAGGTTCTATAATGCTTGATTCTCACTTGCAAGGGAACAGATAAGCATGTTCCTCTGTATTCTTCTCTAGTAGGTCTAACTATGAAGAACAAACATGCTTCATTTGGTTGCTGCCTTTGCTGAACCTCCCTTCAAAATATTGAGATATAATCTTATTGTGTTTTTCTATATCAGATTCAGATATAGAAGAATATGGCTTTGGTCTTCACATTGACATTAGTGATATGGAATGACTAAATCAATTTTTCAAAATTTAAGTGTAATGAAGTTGCTATATATTTACTACCTTGAACTTTCTTCTTTCCTTTCTTGTGTGTAAGTCCTGTACAGATCTTTTATCCCACCAGAAGCAACTTACAGTTGGCCTCCCACCTGAGCCTCGTGAAAAAACAATTACAGCGTATGTGAACCACTCTATCTTAAACCAATGTCTTATTTTTCATACTTCTTGATAGCTTTATGATAAGATTTTTAGAAAATATTTTTAGTAGTAGAAGTATGAATACTGAGCCGAGGTGGCGCAGTGGTTAGAGTGCAGTACTGCAGGCCACTTCAGCTGACTGCTATCTGCAGTTCACCAGTTCAAATCTTACCGGCTCAAGGTTCACTCAGCCTTCCATCCTTCTGAGGTGGGTGAAATGAGGACCCAGACTGTGGGGGCAATATGCGGACTCTGTAAACTGCTTAGAGAGGGCTGAAAGCCCTATGAAGCGGTATATAAGTCTAACTGCTACTAACTGCTACTACTGAATTGGGAAACATGAGTCACGTCTGAGATCATACAGGATCTTAGCTAGTTTGTTAAAATATATAATATATATAATGGCAAAAATGGTCCTTTTCATTAGCAACACCACTGTTGTGGCTTGATGATCAAAGAAAAGCTTTGAATGAATGGAACCATTTTTTCCCAATTATATGTAACTGAGTACAAAATAAATTCTAGAAAAGGAGGATTTTTTTCAATATATTCTACAGTTTAAAATTTATTAAACTGTCCTGGTAATCAGGAACAATTATGAATTCAAAACAAGTAAGTCATTTGGTGGAGATAGGGAAAGATTCTCATTCTGCAAGTTTACTTTTCTCCAATTTTAGGTTTCATAAAGGCAGACTTTCTTTTACAAGTCATTTAGAGGACAAAAAATATTGAAACCAAGAAACAAAGTCTGCCCCACTAGTCTTCCAATAAAAATTATAGTTTAATACAATAATTATAAGGCTAAGCTACTGAAAAGACTTCTTGAAAAATAGACATAGAGTCACTGATAGATTTTTGCTTATGCTTTTAATTAAATTCAATTTCTGTAGGCCTTTGCCTCCTGACAAGCTGATCAAACTAATATATGAAGCCAGTGGCCAGGATATCAGCATTGCAGTCCTTACACAGGTAATATGAAAAAAAACCCTTGCTAATCTTTTTGAATAAATTATTTTATTATTGCCACTGTGTATCATGTGTGATAGAGGTCTCTAAAATCAATTCTTCTCTTCCCCAACCTTGGCAGGAAATTATAGTATACCTGGCCATGCATGTCCGGTCACAACCTAGTCTCTTTGCAGAAATGCTCAGACTCCGCATTGGGCTTATTATTCAAGTGATGGCAACAGAACTTGCTCGCAGCTTGAATTGTTCGGGTAAGGTTACTTTCTCTTTCTTATTACTCTGGAATAAAAGAGGGGATTCTGAGTATATTTCAGAGGTGAGAAGGTAAATGGCAATAGCAAATTTGCATATAATAAGTATAGTGAAAAGGAGTAAAATATAATGAAGGAAATAGATAAAGAACTTCCAGACAAGGCAGGAGAAGATTGTTGGTAAAGGCAGAAGTGGGATTCAGCCAGTTCGGATCAGTTCAGGCAAACCGGTTGTTAAGATTTTGCACAGTTCAGAGAACTGGCTAATCGCACCACTGGCTGGCCCCTCCCCACCTGCCCCATCCTTTATCTCATCTTTATCTCGCCTTGCCCGCCTTGGCTGATGCCTAGAATCATACCCACGGCATAGCTGCTGCTGCTGCTCTTTGGTTCCCTTGCTTGCCTCGACCACGTGGCTCAGCTGATCTCTGCCTGGTGAGCCTTCCTTTGCTTCTTGCCCAGCTGCCTCCTGTCTAAGGGCTTTCTGTCCCCCACAGCCACCTGCCCTTTGTTTGATGCAATTTGGGAGTGTGGCAAGTGGGGCGGGGAAGAAAGGATGGTCCTGTCTTCCGAGTCGACTGGCTTCTTCCAGGAAGCTCTTGCTTTGCCTTATGGTGTAAGTCGTCAAAGACAAGGTTTTTGTGGGCAGAAACCTTTTCCCTACCCACCACCGCCCATATGCCCTTTCTTTCCCCAAATTCCCCAAGCATTTCTTTGCCTACCTGATTTCCAGCTGCATCTCATTTCTAGCCATCCTGTGCAGAGAAACAAATGTTTGTGGGACTATAAAAAAGTTCAATCAATCAATTCCAACTTCTTGGGGGGAAACAAGATCTCGCGAAGTTGGGATTGTTTGAGTGAATATTTTTTAAAGTCCCACAAATGTTTCTTTCCTTGCACACAATGGCAAGAAATGCAGCAGAGCTGAAAATCAGGTAGGCAAAGAAATGCAGAACAAAACAGTCTCATCACGCTGTGCGTCTCCTGCCAAGCACGCCCAGCCATACATGGCCTTTTCTTCTCCTGCGCCATTTCCCACTGTTTCCCGCTTGCCTCTTTCCCAGGGAGGCAGGGGTGGGTTCCTGCCAGTTCTAACCTCTTCAATAGAAGAGGTTCCACAAATCTACAGCGCCATTTAAAACTGGTTCCAGTTCCCTCCCCCTGCCCGTTCGCTTATCATCAAGATGAAGAGCGAGAGGAGGAATTCTGGGAGTTGAAGTCCACAAGTCTTAAAGCTGTCAAGTTTGGACACCCCTGGGTTTTTTTTTCTAAAGAGTTAGGGGTGCAAGGGTCTTGTAACTTGACAGCTTTAAGACTTGCGTGCTTCAAATGCCAGAGTTTCTGAGCCAACATTTTGGTTGCTAAGCAAGAGTGTTGTGAAAGTTTCACCACATTTTACAAGTTGGCCATGCCCACCCAGTCACATGGCTGGCAAACCACTCCCACCCGGTCACATGGCCGGCAAGCCACTCCTACCTGGTCACATGTCTGGAAAGCCACTCCCACAAAGCAGGCCACACCTAAAGAAGAGGTTCTAAAAAAAATTGAAACACACCATGGCAGGGAGGCCTCTTGCCCGTGCTGTCTGGGAGGCAAGCCACTTACCCACGCCATTTCCACTTGCCTCTCTCCCTGGGAGGCAGGCTGCTCATCCACGGCATTTCCCGCTGTTTCCTGCTGTTTCCCTCTTGCCTCCAGATTCTAGCTGAATGTGCCTCACCCCCTCCCCTCCCAGGCCTCTTGCCGATGGGTTTCCAGCACTTCTTCTCCTTAAACCAATGAACTCCTTGGCTTTTGAAATCCAGTGCTGCTTCTCTGGCTGTCAAGTCTGAGCAGCTGATCCAAGAGTGCTGGATTTCAAAAGCCAAGGAGCTCAGTGCTACAAGGAGAAGTGCCAGGAAGCCATCAGCAAGTATCACAGGGTGTTGCTGGAGCTGAAGGCGCTATTGCTGGCCCAGGAGGACTCCAAGGATGCCACCTCCTCTGCAGGGGCTACCAACCTGGACAAGTCTTACAACATCCTGGCAGGTAGGGCGGTCACTTTGGGGGGTTTTGGCTCCAGGGTAGGTGGGAAAGGGGGCGGAGAATGGTGAGCGGGGAACGGAAGATTAATTTTTTTTAATAGATTAGAAAATAATATGAGGGACTTTTGGGAAGAAAGCCCTTCATATTTGTGGTATTGGGATGGATTATATGTCAACTCCTAGTGACCCTATAGAGTGTTGGAATTAAGCTCTTGGAAACTTTTGGAAGTATTCACTTTTGGTGACTGAAAGTAAAGGGTATTTAATGGCAGTACATTAGAAGTACCTTAGAACTGAAAACAACTATTTTTGGTGACAATGCTTTTAAAAAATAAAAATATTGGACCCTGTTTCCACACAGTTACTTTGTACTGTATTTTGTCATGTGATAACTTTTCCTACAAACTGTTCAATTTATCTACTCCACCTGTATTTATATATTCTTCAAAATATGTTTAAAAATTTTTAAAACTGGGAAGCTGACTTGCCACAAAACAAACCATCCTCCAGAAAAATCATGTATTTCTTTATTTATATTCCATCATTATTTTTATAAGTAATTCAGAATAGCAAACATTCCAAATATCTCTCCTATTTTCCCCACTACAGTCCTGTGAGGTAGGCTGGGCTGAGAGAAGGAATGACTTGCCCAAAATCAGCCAGTCAGTTGTTAACTCACCGAGCCATTTCTGAACTTTCCTGCAATGTGAAAAAGAGAGCTATCTGCAGCCAGTGTTTTGTTTAGAAGTGCGTCCACCTGTCTTGAAAAAGCAGAAAACTTATAAGTATAGGACTATGCATTGCTATGGTGGACAGGGATGCATTTGTCTGCAATTCTTTAAACAAAATATGAAGTTGCATAATCCCAGGAAAAATTACAGCTGTCTTAAAGAATTGCAAACAGGTGCAGCATTCCTTTCTCTTGGTGCTCTCCAAAATATTTTTTTTTTACTTTTGAATCCAAAATGCAGAGGTACATTACAAGAGGGCAAGTAAGAATACACAATCAAGAAATGTTATTTGAAATAGGTGTTTTGTAAACTTATCTGAGGCAAGTCTTCTCAGTCACTATTTTGCAAAAGCATTCACAACAATAAATATCGATCATATTCCAAATATAGGGTTCCAACTTTAGGTGACATTTATGGCTGCTTATTTTGTTTCTACTACTAGTAAAGAAATGAGTGAGAAATCATCATTTTTATAATTATTCCTGAAGTGGAAGAA